AGATTGGTTCTCCTTGAATAACAAAAACTGCATCTTTTCACACAAACTTACATTGGAGGATATGTAAGTATTTATAAACTTCTTGACATCTCTTTACTTAATTCATTTTATATGAAAAATACCCTTTTCTACGCTCTTCCACTACTCAATGTTCTTTCATTCTTTGTTTTTGCCTTGATATCACTTAACCAAGTTTACTTAACATTGTAGATTGGGACCAGTGAAGTATGCATTGCAATTATATGTGGACAGCTTTATATTTTTCCTTCTGGGTGGCCCCCATGTAAGGGATAACACGAATTTTCCACCAAACAGTATGCCTTTAGTAGTTCTTATGAATTATATGTTGTGGTTTCAATGGTCGAATGCATAGAATCAAAGCAATCAACAAACACAATCAACCACCCTAAACAAAATAAGCGAAGCAAGTAAAATAAAGAAGACACCAGAATTTTTACGTGGAAAACTCAAATGGGAAAAACCACGAGGCATTTGCCCAAATGAAAAACAATCCACTACTAAAAATAGATTACAACTTTCAGATCAAAATTCGAATCTCTCAAAGTTCTAGCATCACCAAGGGAGACTTGCTCTCAACCTCACTCTCTTTTCTACACAGGTTTCCACTATGTTTTTTTCACGCACTCACCCATATGCACTTTTTAAATTTTAAGCAAGAGATAAAATAGGGAGCTTTTGAATACAAGAATAGTAACACTATCCTATCAGGGATTAACATGTTAACATATCCAAAGTTAGAGGAGTCCACTTTTCTTTTCCCATTTTCTTCAAGAATAGGAAATGTTCGTGTTGGAAACTACTATGCATCTTCAAATAAAAACTTCCCAAGTTTTTGCCATTCACCGTGCACTCAAGGTGCACCTCCATTGTTGAGCCACCCAACTTGGGAGGGCTAGCTCAACATTACTCTCATTCCATTTCACTTTCTCCTTCCTAATATTTAACCGTTCATGGTTAACCATGGCACCTTTTTTTTTGGTAACAGGTACTTATATTAAATGTCTTGGAATAAAAGGTATGTGTCAGATTTTATTTTAAAGTACTTGTATACCATTATGTATAATTTCCTAACTAATGTAGGAATCTATTTATAGTTCATATAAATATTGGAAACAATGATTTGAGCAAATAGAAGAAATCTCTGGAAAAATATTTAACTTATGGGCATGAGTGCCAGGCCTAGTTTAAGTATCACAAATTCTAGATCATAAGAAAATCTGAGAAAAGCTTCTATTGCATGTGTCTTGGTTTTTATAACTTGTAGACATTCGTCATTGACAGACTCTTTATGTTTACACTATATCATTTCTCAATCAGGAAGCATGCTTGAATAATTTGATAAATGCTTTAAATAAATTGAAAATATTATTGATTTTCAAAAACTTTTCTAATGATCTAGAACAAAGTGAGTCATAAAAATGTAATAATATCCCATGATAGATTTTTTTTCCTTTTTTTTTCACATCTGATGATGTTCCTTTTTAACTTCAAATATCAGAAGGCACACTCGTAGATACTAATTTGTCTGTCTTTTTTCTTGAGCAGGAGCAATTATTTTCACTAGAGCTCGGTTGGGGATATTCATCTTGCTTGTGATAGTTGCATACAAACTTCGGAGGAGGCATTTATCTGTGGATGATAGAATTGAAGAGTTTCTTCAGAAATAGAATAATTGCATGCCTATTAGATATACTTACTCAGAAACAAAGAAAATTACTGAAGGCTTTAGAGATAAACTAGGTCAAGAAGGTTATGGTTCAGTTTTTAAAAGAAAAGCTTCGAAGTGGACATTTTGTAGCTATAAAATTTCTGGGCAGGTCAAAATCAGATGGCCAAGATTCATCAATGAAGTTGCTACCATGGTAGGATTCATCATGCTAATGTCATGCCACTCATTGGATTTTGTGTTGAAGGGTCAAAACAAGCTCTAGTATATGATTTCATGCCTAAGGGGTCCTTGGATAAAGTCATATTTTCAAGAGACAATAACACATCTTTAGGTTGGGCAAAAATGTTTGAGATTGCTATTGGGGTGGCTAGGGCGATTGAACACTTACATCGAGTATGTGAAATGTAGATTTTACATTTTGATATCAAGCCACAAAATATCCTTTTGGATGAGAATCTTAATCCTAAAGTTTTTGATTTTGGCCTTGCAAAACTATATCCCGCAAATGATAGTGTTGTATCTCTCACTATAGTAAGAGGTACATGGCTCCTGAATTATTCTACGAGAAAATTGGAGGCATCTCATATAAGGCTGATGTTTATAGCTTTGGAATGTTGTTGATGGAAATGGTGGGAAGAAGAAGGAGCTCAAATGCATTTTCTGACCAATCAAGTCAAATATACTTTCCAGCATGGATTCACGAGCGATTTGATCAGGGAGTGGATATAGAGTTGGTAGATGTTACAGATATTGAAAAGAATCTTGTCAGGAAGATTGTCATAGTTGCATTGTGGTGCATACAAATGAAACATGTTGTCCATCCTACGATGAGAAAAGTCTTGGAAATGCTTGAAAGTGAAGTTCAGCTACTTGAAATGCCTCCCAAGCCTTCTTTTATTCCATCTGAGTTGCAGACTACAAATCATGTAAATATAAATGTCAACATAAGTCAAGCAGCCCAGCCAACTATGTCACTTGATGCTAGAAGATAAGGTGCACTCCAAATGCCTTGCCTTGATTTGCTTAAGCATAACAGTGTCACATTTGTTTACATATCCTGCATTGTTTATTAAATAAATGACCTTTTTAAAACTTGAATATATCAATCTTCAAGATTTGTACTTTGATTTATCTGATCACATATGGTTTCTTAATGAAATAAGATTACTCTGTTGCTAGAAAATTTGAACTTCATTTGATATTCATTTATTTGGAAAATAATCTCATGGCTCTTTTTGTCTTCTATTTATTGATGCTTCTGCTGCTGAAGGCCAGAGCAAGCATTGTATCCCTTCTTCCTGTGGAAGCTTCAATATCAATTTTTATTTTGGTTAACAAGAGAAATATTAATGTTCCAGGATCGTTTATTACATGAAAGTTAAATGTTCCATTTTAGGTGAATCCAAAGACTAATAAATTCAACTCTCTCCCATGTAAGCTAAAACATTTCACCAAAGAAAAATTACAAAAGAAATTCTTCACTGAATTCGTATGATCTAACTATAAAACATTGATTTTTTCAAACATTTTAACAGTTAGGGAGATTTGAAAATATCACTAATTAAGGGCAGCACAGCAACCTGGACCAATGGTATAATGACGTGTTGGCATGATTGTGTTAGTTTTCCTTACAATTGGACAGAAGGTTGCAAACTGCCATTGCTAGTTACCTTCCATCTAGAAGCAAACTGATTGTTTCTATATAATCTGAAGATGAAGATTCAGTTTGATTTTCTTTTGTCTACCATACTCCTTTCTTGTGCCTCTTCAGGAAACAGAACAAGTTTGAGAGACATTGGCAGGCTTTCGAGTTTTTCTTGAACCATATGAACAACTTTGTTCATCGAAGGACGATCACTAGGCTTCCTCTATATACACCAAAATGCTACTAAAATCATCTTCTTTATTATTCTATTTTTTCTTCCTCTGTTGCATCTCTAATTTCTTCCACGCCCTTACCCTTAACAATTGGATCATAATCACCAAAAGGAGAAGCAAACCTCGCTTGAATTTTCTGCTGCTGGATTCGTATTCCTTCTCTTGCAAGCCATTTCCATCAACAATATTCCAAAACAATAAACATCAGCTTTATATGAAACACCACCTACAAATGTTCTTCCCAACATTTGTTGATTGAAAATGCCATTACACACGGAGCTCTAAATAAAAATTTTCAATAAGCAAGTCACATATGCTCCTGTGTGGCAAAATCAAAGAAAAGATGTAAGAGAGAGGTGACCAGTTAGAAGAATAGTCATCAAAGCTATATCCATTGACTTTTTAGCTAATGAAAAATAATGATTGGAAAAAAAATTTTTTTTTTGATAAAATAATGACTGAAATTAATATGCCGTGTTTAGTATATGAATTCTTGACCACTTCTTATTGGGTTTTCCTCTTTTTGCTTTATTTTTCCATGGAATATGCCTTTGGAAGACATTCTCAAGTTATAAACTAGATCAACCAATCACTAGTGACTAGCTAACATAAAAGCAAGAATCCTCCCCAAGAAAATGGAGTTTGAACGAGGAGACAGGAGATGACACAGCAATGGCAAATCGACAACCGGCTTCAAAGACTTCGCTAACATATTGCCAACTTTTGACAAAGGTTTATTGAAACAATGTGTGTCCTACCATTTCATCAATTTTCCTGAGGAATGGGGAGCGAAGAAGCTGTTCTACTTCATGAGGAAGATAGTGAAAGCAGGTAGACTCTAGGATATATTCATTCCGAGTAAGAGGGATAGAAGAGGCAACAGATATGGTTTCGCCAGATTTCTAGATGTTAGAGATGGTCAAGAGATGAGGAAGCAACTGGAAAGCATATGGATTAGAAACAAAAAGGTGATCTTCAACCTAGCTGTAGAAAAAGGAGAAGAGAAACGCAGATGGAAAGCAAAATCAGCAGGGGAAGTAAGATGGAAGAGTAGCAAAAAGAGGACCAGTTACGAAGAAAGCTCCAAAGATGACATATGCACAAAGCCTTTTACAACAAAAAGAGAAGGCAAACATCAGCGATATAGATCTGAAGGGTCCCACACCATCAGAGGCAAGAAATTACATGAGGAACTCAAGTAGAGCAACGACTACGGCTACGGTTCTTGGAGGATTCAAATACAAAAAGGTGATTGAGATAAAAAGGACAGAGGAGATTGAAGAAAATTTAATGAAGTGTGCTATAGGAATGGCTCTATCTCCTTCCATCATCTCAAATCTTCCAGAGATATTTTTCAATGAAGAATTTCCTTTGATCAAAATAACTCCCATGGGCGATAATCTTGTGCTGATAAAAGAGGAGAACCTGGAGTATATAAAGGAGCTAGTTCATGGGAACTTACAATGGGTGTCATCCTATTTTGAAAGGATTAAGTTTTGGTCTCCAACAGATATTGCAGAAAAGAGATTTGTGTGGGTCAAAATTCAAGGATTACCATTGCATGCTTCGACAGAAGAAAGCCTATCAACAATTGGTAACCATGTGGGAAAAAGTGTCAAAGTTGATGAACACACCCTTTCCAAAGAGTGTCTAGATGTAGCGAGAATCTTAGTCTCTACTAAATCTAAAACAGGGATTAATGAAGAATTCTTGCTCAAAGTGAAGAATAATAGTTACAACATTACTTTAGTGGAGGAAAATTGAAGATCTGATCCTTGGTGGCTAAATAAGATTGATAATTCCAGTGTAGATTCAGAAGTAAGCTCAACGGCTTTCAATTTCGGTGATGATTCTGGCGAACTTGATGACAACTATTCAAATGGTCAAGAGGAAGAGGAAATTCAGACACCTTTCAGAAATGTCAATGGCATTAATTATCCTGACAAATTGTGTGTCTCAAAGACATTTCTTGAGGAATGCAAAGAAAATGATGACGTTCTGTCTAATCATATTCAAGGAAAACAAAGAGAGGAGCGTGCAAATGGGAGCCATACTAGCTTCAGCAGAATTCCACCATCAAACGAAGGGGTTGTCTAAGAAACAACCCAATCCAAAAGCCCACTTGCTAGCAAAAACAAGGCCCATTCGGCCAAAGGAAAAAGTGAATCGAACCATCAGGAGAGGTGTGGGCTTAAAACTTTTAAAAGCCCCATCAAAAGCCCCAGGATACAAGAAGAAACAAGAGCAGAAACACCGATGCTGGTGACAGGAACGAGGCGCAAAAGAAGAAGAAGAGCAATGCTACAGCTGGTCAACCTTGGCGGTACATCACCAAAACGATCAATATCTGACAACAATATTGTGTGTAATAACAAAAGGATCAAGGAAGGCATGGTATTATAGGAAGTGTCACGCCCCAAAACCCAAATTCGAGGCGCAACAGACGCCGTACACTCGTGAGACGGGTCCCACAAGTGCACAAGGCTCAGAACTTATCATATCACATCTGATACCATCAAAATCTGAAGATCAAATCTTTAAAATTTACTCTAATATCATAAAATCTCCAAGTACACTCTAGCTTACAAGATCATGATTTCTAGAATCTATATCAATCTCGAAATGGCTAGCTTTCTAACTCGTCACTTCCCGTGGTTTCCCCGTCCTTGATTTCACATCCTGAAATGGTGGACAAGGAAAACTATGAGATAAACTCAGTAAATAAAATATGGAGTGCCCATTATTAAACTTATAGCATGCCAACAATGTGCAATCACGAAAAACGAATACAATACGGGAACAAAATAGACGTCTCCTCTATAGATCACGGCCAGTGTTATAAACCTTTCACTGGCGGGCAACAGAAATTGCTAGTGTTTAATCCCACTAGCAGGATAACAGAAACGAACCGATTCTATCAATAACATGTCGACATGTGCTAGCATTTATAACTCCCACTAGCGGGCAACAGAATAACATGACCATATCGGAGACAAAACAGGCTGAAGTTAACAGAAAAACATAATTCACCAATCACTTTCAGATCATCAGGACAATCAATCTCCAATTTCAGAAACAACCGGAAAATCTCCATGTGAGCATGGATTTAACAGAAAACTCAAAATTTACAAAAAAACTCTCAGTTCATCAAAATAGTTCAGTCAATTTCCAAAAAGGCATGCTCTACTCAATGCAACGAAAACAATTTCATTCCAATCATGCTCGATTCCAGAAAACAATGAAATTCTCATAAAAACGATCACAATTTCCATTTCAGTTTAATCACATTCAGATGCTGATAAAATCAATTTAAAATCAATTTAAACCTTGCCACCATCTCAAAAATAGTTTAAAACATGCTTTAAAATTGAAGGGCTTTACCATGATTTACTTACCTCACTCGCACAGAACAGAAGGCTAACCCAAGTGCTACGGTGATAGAACGATCAAAACCTAATCATAATATTCCACAATTAATAACCATACCACCACAAATTCACAGTGAAATCATCTTTAGCACTATCCCTAATCACAGTGCTATTTCTATCAATCTCCACATAACCGGACATCTCCAAATTCATTCTTATATCACAAACTAAACCTTTAAATCCCCGTTAATAGTTGACCCTCGGTGTGTGAACAGTGCCTATGAACAGTACCCGTGAACAGTACC